CTAGGAGGTGGCTCCAATCCACTCCCATGGAAATTGGTGGGAATTTTCTATCCATTCCACTGGGTATTCTCAGGGATCACAATGTAAAAAAGTCCTACCCACAGATGACCCACAAAGTTACTTATACCTATGGGATATCAAATGCCTCATATTATGTAGAACATATGTCTATGTTAACTGATAAATAAAAGGAAAGATTCATATCTCTTTCAGATCATGAACATTCAGCCCAGACCCTTTGCTGTCAGGTTGTGGATTTAGAGATTAAAAACATCATCAGACTACAGTTAAGACAACAGATGGGCCACAACTCCAAGGGACGCTTTACCTATTGTCACTGCTTTTTACTTCCTTGGTCATTCCCTGTAGTCAAGCAATAACATTCACCACCTTGCAAAGAAATGAAAACAGACTAATTATAGTATAAGGTAGGGACATAAAACATCTAGCAAACTGCAGATTTAGGCCCTGGATCAGCAAGGAAGTTGCTCCTAGGCAGGAAATGTCACTAGCCAGCTACAGTATCAAATACATATAATATCAGAATTCTTTCTCCTGCATAGGTCCTTTTCTTTGCTTTTATTTGGTGCTGGGTGTACACCCCTGTTCATCCTGCAGTTACAGTTACTAAACTCAGACTCAGTTTTTTTTGCTCTGCAGTCATTTCTAGCATGATCTTTGAAATCATTTGCATTTTGGTGATGTCAATAAGATTGGGCTCAGGATCTGCAGAGTGAGAGCTGTAATATGCCATGCACACGGTCACGTGAAAACAGACCAGCCTCTGAGAAACAGGGATAATGAAAAGGTGGGCATATGGACAATGGGGTGCATGATTCTCTGCGCTTCCTTTTCTTGCTGTTGCGAGCTGCACCCAAAAGGTGCAGCAGCATCGTAACAGATTTGCCTCCAGGGTGCTCTATCCAGAACCTTTTCCAGAGCTGTGCAGCTCAGCATTGGAGGTGCTACGGGAACACATGCATGGCTGAAATGTCATTTTTCAAATAAGAAACACCATAGTCCAAATTCAAATGTATTGTCAACGGGCCTGATGGATACAATGAGAGTGTGAACTAAAGGTAAGCTAGGAACAAACACTTTATTTCCCTAGCTCAGACCAAATTAAATGGCAGATGATAAGGTAGTGGGGCTTGTTTCACTGAATTTTGTTTAATCGCTTGCTCCAGTAGCAAGTGCAAATTTACTCATTATGTAACAGTGCCTTCAGAATTAGTAGCTAGTACACAATATAAGCTTACTGGTACTTGATTTACATGTAGTACTTTCTAAACAAAAGAATTAAGCACTCCATTATGTTTTAAATTTAAATGAAATAGAGACATCACGCTATAGAAAGGGATTCTTCCAAGCAATCAGTGGAAGAGCTGGATTCAGTTCCTGCCTTGGTCACAGTTTCCATCAGAGCAAGTAAACCCTACAGAATAGCTCCTGCTTCAGTTTCCTATCTACAAAACCAAGGCAGTAACACATTCCTTATTTTGTCTATTTAGAATAGTCCTCAGGATCTGCAAGCAACTGTGCAAGAGGTGAATAGGACTCCTTTTATCATCAGTAATGCTCTTTATGCCTGGGTCAACAGGGAATTTAGCCCTGCACCTTGAATAACAGTGCATCACCACTCTGTTTTTAATCAGACCTCACTCGTCTATCTCAGAACGCTGTTCCATGAATAAATAACAGTGTAGTACACAGAGGGCTTTTTTAAAGTAACTAATTCTGATTAAATCAATATCAGTACGATGAGAATCTCAACAGGCCATTACGTTGCATAGACAGTAGAGATTGAGATTCATGTATACCACAATTAGACTGAAAGCCAGATTGCATTGACTAATTATTTTAAATAACTTTTGAATTAAATAATAATCATATTTGTGCATTCAGACTGCCCTTTTGGAAGCTCTACTAGTTTGTTCCTTTGGGATCTACTTCAGTCACTAGTCTTCAAATTTCTACTGGATAGCTGATGCCATGTCAGCATCCTCAGAGAAATAATCCAAAGACACACATATACCAAAGACCGCATAGAGTAAAGCCTGAACTAGTTAAGGAGTTATTTCCTAGTTTCTGCAGAACTTGGCTGAGTCAGGGGGTTGCCATGACTTCCACAGCCTATGTCAGAGGAAGAATAAAGAAGGAGAGGGTTGAAACGTGATGGTTGTCACTTGGAAATTAGATTGAAGCTTCTAACTCGGTTTTTAAAGGTCTTGAAAGAAAGCCACCACTTTAAATAGCCTCTCTGGCTGTTGCGACCACAGTAAAAGGTCTGAAGGTTACACAATAACCCATATGACTGCTCTTGCAAAGTGGTGCTTTCAAAGAGTGCTTTGAGGTGCTTTGTGCCCTCCTTGTGCATCAGGCAAGAACATCACAACTACAGCTCCGAGTTCTACTTTCCATCAAAGCACTCCACTTCAAAATATGGCTAAATAGACTATCCTGTACCTTGGAGATGTACACTAATATTCCTGGACTTAATCACCAAAGTTTGACCTTCCAGAAATGTTCTCTGGATCGTCAAAAACCTGCAGCCTATTGTGAATAGGATTAATCTAAAAGAAAAATTTCACAGTAACATGATAAAATGCTCTTCTAATAAGTGACAGATGGTTTGACCAGGAGCCTGGTTCGAAAATAACAAACTGAGAACCTGGGGCCAGTTTGCTGGACTCCAAAGGATTGCCTTGCTCTCTGGCAGCCCTTCAAGGCTCCAATAAACTGCAAACATTCAGTTTTCAGCCTAAAAATACACACTCCTTCCAAGCACTGATGGAAAGGATGCATAAGTATTTAACCGTTCACTGATATCTACTAGAGGATCATGCAGGCAGCACCAATACTGCCTCCTATCGCATTTCTATCAGCTCCTGACCTATAAACTACTATCCAACATATGTGGGGTGCTTACTGGTGGCCACGACCCTTTCACACTGGCATGGCGTGAAAGAAAAGTATTCGAGGTTACAAAATCTGGGACAGACAGGGACCATCTCCTCTTTCTGCGTTTGTCCAGTGTCCGGACAAAGGATTCTTTGACCTACCGCAGTTATTAAAATTGCTACAAATTTTCACTGCCCTTGCAGAAAGCAAGCTTCTTTGCAAATCCCAATGTAAATCCGTAAAGAATCTGAAAGCTATTGTAAAATACTTGCTTGCTATCCAGAATTTCTGCAGCTTAGCAACACAATGCTAAGCTGCAGCGGTCCTCAGTTTGGCCCACAGCACTATCAAAGCAGGGGTTGAAATTTCTAGAAGTGAACTTTCTCAAAGTGGCAGGCTTAGGATATGGGGCTTTGGTTCAGACACATCTCTAAAATTAACACGCAAACCAAATCTGCTAAAAGATATTATGAAGTGTTTTGGTGATAGTTCGTAACGTATATCCACTTCTCCCTCCACCCTTTCATCGGTTTGATCCCTCCCATATTCTCTCTGGTGATCATACATGAGGTGAGTCAGCACCTGAAGATGCTCAGTGCTGATGCCAAAGGGCAGTTTTTCCCTGAAAAACATTCTTTTATTATTCCTTCATTGGCACGAAGCATATACTAGTGCTTAGATCATATTGCAGCCTGTGTATACGAACGCGCCAAAAGGAAGCTTATCTTTTTTAGAGGAAGGCATGGTTTATTTTTGTTCTGTTTTTAGATGAAGAAAAGAACAAAGCTTTTGAATGTCTGCATTATCTTTATTTGTGCATCGCAGCTGTGTCGTGTTCAAAGATTAGAATAGGCCGATTGAGTCTAACAGTAAGATCTGACTCAGTTTAAGAACATGGTTGCAGTTAGGGAAGCACACAGGAAAATAAGCCATTTCTAAGCAGTGGAATTGTCAAGACCATGTCTAGCTGAGTTTTTCACAGATTTTAATGCCCAAAATGCTTGGAATTCCTGCGTTGGCACAAGCACGAGAATCTAGTGGTGCTAAAACAGAAACAAGAAATTGAAGATATTTTCAGTGACAAGTTCCCAGAATCCAGTAAGGAAAAGTCTGTTAATTACACAAACAGATGTTTCCATCCCCAATTATGGCCTTGTTCAAGGCTCCCACTGCTCTGAACAGGTACTGTGTAAAACTTTTATGGCGCAACTCAAAGCGAGGAAATATCTGTGTGGCTTACATCACCTTTGTGTTCCTCCTTTCCTACAGCCAGCATACACCAGGTACCATCCTGGCATACGCTAGATATATTTTGGGACCATTATATCATCAGGGCACAAGTTGGATACAATTGCTACACGGTTGCTTCCACTGTGACCCTGGGCAAACCACTTCAGGACAGCTGCTCCAGGTATTCAGATGCCTAAAGATGAGAAAGGCGCTTCACGGGATTTTCCAAAGCATCACAGGGCCTTACGCTTTTAATCCTACTAGGTGATTTACATCTCCTCTCTAAAATGGGGCAATTTGTTGCAACCTCGCAAAGGTGCCACAGGGATTTAGGTGTGAAGGACGGAAAGGTGCTTGGATGCTGCTGGTAACGGAAGGTTTATGTCTGTTCGGTTCTTGCTACTTACCTTGAGTCTTTACAAGCTTGTAGATAGGCAGATCTCTGCAGAGATTCTCAATGGCTTTACCATAGAGAAACCATTCCTTTATATTCGCTAATATCGAATTGCCGGGTTCATACAGTACCCACACATCATTTGGAGAGTATATTTTCTTCAAAGTCTAAAGATGAAATGTTAAATATCATCAGCAATGTAGCTCTGGTTTCAATCTACTAAGATAACCCGTGAGAAAATCCCAAAATCTAAAATTATCTTCCTTTGGCCTCATACAAAGCACCAGCTGAAAAAGCTACAAGTTGTTAAATAAAACACACATTTTTTATCTATTTGTAAACAAAATTCACTAGATAGTAATACTATCAACTTAGCAAAATTGAACTGTATTAATGTAATAAAAATTATGTTAATTGACTGTGATACAGTTAAACAATTTGCACATATGTTAATCTTCCCAGTCTGTGCAGGCGTTTTAAAAAGCGCATTGCTATATTTTGCTGCAGAAGTGCTACTGTTACGCTGTCGTAAGATGGGCCAGAGCTGAAGCTCATCTCCAGGCAATACTCTCAATCACCTTCATGAAAGTTTTGCCCGAGTAGGAAAGTCACAGTTTGCTCAAAGTAAATTGATTTCCAAATTCTGCTTCTGCAAACAAAATAACTTCACGTATCTCATTTCTAAAATATTAGCATGACAATGAAAAAAAAGGAAGAAGCTTGTGTGAATTCGTATTGGGACTACCCAAAAATATCCAAGCACACTATTTCCACAGACACAGGATCTTACAGGTCTAACTATAACTACCAGCCACTATAAAACTGCAGGGTGGGCCATGATCATTCATTATCTTAAAATAATATTGTATATGTTATTCCCTTGAAGTTTTGTCTTGCCAGTTCTGTTTCATCATTGCAAATCCAATAAAAGAGAATCCTAAGAGCAACAGCTGTTCTTAATGGTAGAATGGAGGGCTTCTATCATACCATCCCAAAACAGAACTTTCTTATACACAGAACAGGATTCTCCATACAATCACCTGTTTCTCAAAAGCCAGGCGTCCAATTTCTTGCAGCTCTGGGATGGAACCTTTCTCTATTTTCAGAATAAAGCAAGCATTCCTTGAAAACATCCTTGTTGCAATATATCCCTGTGATAAAAAATTATCGTTAATTTAATTCATTAAAAACTGCTACCACTCACACTTGGTGATCCCCCCTGTTCTCTAGGGTGAATGAATACATGTAAAGTTGCTACACTGCCTATCATGACTTTCCATTTACACTGTCGTCATGGGGAATGGAAGCAGCCTCCCTATATTAATGTCTATCTATAATAGAGAAATTATCTTCTTCCATGGACTTCTACCGTACTTGTTATACATGAGTGATGGTGGCCTGATCTCGACCCTGTTGCATTGCAGTCAATGACATTTTTCTCCCTTTCATGAATAACCACGAGTTTCATTACAAGTCTAAACTAAACAACTACATCATCATACATGTGAGACAAAGAAACGGCAGAAGGGGAGGAGAAGTGATGGAAGTCTGAAAAGAAACAGTTTCAAGACAACTCATGATGACAATACACTAAAATAATTTTTCTTCGTTTAGAAATTACTCACAGAGATTGTTTGAGTCTAGGCAGATTCTTGGATTTACTTACATGCTGGTAGTCAAAAATGGTATCAGAGGAGTACGCCCCAGAACGGACATGGACATCAGCTAAGTTCTTCTCGTTGTCGATAGTCATAGTTGCAGTGACATAATCGTTGCCAGGTACTGGCAGGTAATAGGTCTTTGGTACAAAACACAAAATAACTGTTCATCATTATTGGCCTTATATCTTTAAAAGGTACAAGATAAATGAAAGCGTTTCCTCTCAAATAACCAAATGTGATTGCTTCACATAAATCCTAAATCTCTTTACAACTCTGGCAATCTCAGGAGGCCCTCACAGTGGAGGTTAATTGCCCAAGAGTTCAACTCAGGGTGGGAGAGGAGGGGAGAAAGCCACATTGCAGGAAAAGATGAACAATATTGGGCAGCCAAGTCATTGTGTGTGACAGCAGAGATTGTCAGAGAAGTCTGAGACAGTCTCCAAATCTTAGTTTGAGCTAACAGGCTACCCCGCTAGAATTTCTTGCTGCTACACGGCTGCACAGAACCACCTCTTTGGCTTGTATGATTGTCTCCTTGGCAATAAGCATCTTGTTAGTTTCTCATGTGCTTTTCTTGCTATTATATTCCCCCATGCCCAAGAATCTAATACATTTTAAATGAGTACATGCAGTAGAAGATTTGTCAGTCTACTTACTTCTAACGCAGAAGTCTGAGTCCAAAAGACTCCCAGTAAAGCAAGAATTGCAGCCTGCAAAAGGAATAAGCATTCATACTCAACAGAAACATAAGGCAGTGCCACACCGGCAGGACAGAGCTCAATAAAACATAATAAATCACACTTCTGAACTGGGATTAAGTTCTACATTCTTTGCTCAAATGGTGCTTCCTCTGAGTTCAAGATTATTGCACAAATAAGAAATGCAATATCCCACTGAACAACACAAGAAACAATACACAGGTCATATCATTAATCCCAGTACTGCACCCCCCTTATTAGAACATCTTTTCTGCATTTTTTTTTTGCTTTTAGAAAGGAACTTTCTAAAATATAAATTCAATAAAAATGTCTATACTCACAAATCTCTTCATTTTTCTTTCAGATAAGAACAAGAGGCTGCAGAAAGTGAAAATGGGAAAGAATCCCAGCAACATTCAACTTTTATATCTTGCTGTAGGTGTGGGAGTCACTTGACAAATGTTCTTCATGACTCGAGCAATTCCATATCTATATGCCACACCATGGTAAGCCTCTTTATCTGAATATTGGGGTGGCATAGATAACCTGATCCTGATATGTCAAAAGCGCTCAGTAAGCCAGCTTTTGTAAAATTAATCACTCTACAAATGACTATTATTTGCCGGTTTAAACTCTGGAGGAGTTTCAACTCTTGCTGTTTCAAGCTTTTAATATTTAACAGGATACTAATCCAGAATTAAACGATATCAGAAAAGACTCTGTTATTCATTTATTCAACTGCACTTTGTCTTCTGAAATATAATTCCTGGCCGCCTGATACTCTGCAGACAAATCCTGGAAAGAAATACCTATATCATGGTAGCCTAAGTGCCAGCTAATGAACAGACCAATTTTTCATCCATTTCCTCCAACTAGTATGTACATGGCCTTTTCTAACAAAAAGTGCTGCTCATTTTTGAACAGTTGCCATGGTGTATATCACATGTATTGAAATTACTGACATAGTCAGGGGTAATAATTGTGCTTCACAGATGCAAGCTGAATAACTACTAGCCTCTCTAGTATAAAAAGGAACAAAACAAAATACGACAGGATATGTGGTTTGTCCAAGGTCACAAGTCAAAAGGAGCCGGATGGGGATGGTTTACTTAAAGCTACCACTGTTCTCTGTGTTTTATCAAAACTACACTGACTGCATGATATTGGTCTCCTATGAATATGACCTTGTCTGGACTCCTTATTTCATCTCCTGGTGACTTCCACATCAGGCAGTGCAGGTACTTTGAGGAATCACACTCTACTTTCTACCAGAATATGATAATTGAGGCCTCTTCTCTTCTGATGAAATGAGAGTACAAAGTAATAGCCAACAAATTTCTGTAATGTCAGTCATTAGAAAAGAGGTGACAGAGGTTGTATGTAAATCTAGCCCTGCAAATAGGCCTCAAATAAAAGAGAAAATTGCACATATTTGCTTTATTCCACATAACTTTGCACAAAAAATGTGATCCTGAGTGTGGCAAAGCCATGCTGCTCAGTAATATATCAGGATATATGAACAGATACCAAAGGCTCATGTGACAAGCACGGTGAGATAAAACTAAATTAGATTAGATTGATGTTATCCTCCTGTTTAAAGCTGCCCCTCCCCATTCTTCTCAAATGATTCTTTGTTTGTAAGGCTACAGATATGTTGGAAATATTCACAAAACAGATTTCGGTAGCGAAATGAGTCTTCCACACGTGCTTATAGTAGAATTCAGGCACTACAAGCTAAAATTAAAAGTTGAAATTAACTTCCCATTAATCTTCATATTTTAATTTCTTTTGAGATACTTTCACAGGGCTGAAGCATGAGCTTCAGCTCTCTTGCAGACACGCACACTTCTACACATGTAAGAGCAGAGTAATACGCAAAATCAGCAGTACTTAGTGAAGAATTACAATAACCCTTGTCTCACTAATGATTTTCACTTTACATTGGACCTTAGGTGAAATCTTATGATCCAGTCATATGAGGCCAAAAAATAAAGATTAATTTCTAAAAAGAATTTTACTAATTAACCTTATTACAAAAAAGAACATATTTTCAGTTGACTCAGGCTTGTTACTCAAGGTGAGCCTGTATATCCTTCTCTCTTTCGGGAGACTTTTTGTCCACAGTGAATCTGCACATCTCCCACTAATATATCTGAAATTAGCACGCATTCACCGAAGGGCAAGACTATGCCACAGTCCGTTAAGTGCTCATCTAGTTTAAGTAACTGAAGTAAAAGCCTGCATGAGAAGGGCTATAAGATGCTCTAACTTCCTTGAATAGAATTTTCACTGTTATCAGTCCTCAGGTGGAGTGAGGTTTGGCTTAGGAAGTGACTGGTGCAGTCTCAGAACTGCTTGGTGAATTTGAACTTTTATGACGATACTTACATTTCTCAAGGTAGCCTTCTCGCTTTGGACGCTTTCGCTCTAAGTGGAAACTCTCGAACTTTTTCCCAAATGAAGTCACTTTTTCTCAAGTTACACTTGCGGTCAGATCGGCCATATTGGCACACTGAAGCCTGGAGGAAATGGAATTTGAGTAACGTTTGGAACAAAGCAATACATTCTGCAAGTCATTGCAACAGCACAGCAACGTTAATTACTGTCACAGGAAACTGTTAATTTCTTTAATATTTTCATAAGGCCAAATATTTTCAAGTACATTCTAATTTACTCCAGTGAAATATGATTAAATTACAGAATGACTTGCTATTTACATAAGTAAAATTGCAAGGAGAATTTGGACTAACATTTGGCACCAGCATCCACTAAAAATAATTTAAACAAAAGAACCTTGAACACAGAATGAAATGAATACTTGTACAACTTCAGCTCAAGTCTGACTACCACACAGGAATTTCGACACATAAGGGAGATTCATTCAATCAAGTTCAGGTGGGAATAATGCTGGCATAAAAAAACTCTCCTGGAGACTCATGGTTTTTTTCAGGTACTTTTGATAAATATTTGTCTTATCAGGGAGTGAGAAAGTGGTGGGAGGAATGTAAAGAATCAAGCAACACCTCAAAAATCAACAAAATTCTCTGTGCTTACCTTTGCATACAACTGGCCGCACTTGACTGGATCAAGACAGGGTGACACAGCCTAGAAAATTCTGCATGGCCAAGGGACACGTCAAGCAGAATTTATCAAATCAGTAGTCGAAAACGAAGCTTCTAGGGCCAATTCAACAATAATTTCAGTAGTTTTACTCTTGCTAGAAAATGACACAAGCAAAAACATGTGAAAATTTAAGTGTGTGTGTGGAAAACAGAACATTTACTTGAGAACTGGGTTAAAACTCATATGGTTCCTAGCCATAACAGTTTGCTATACATTGATACAATGATTTAGCAAAGAAACAGAGAATGCTTTGGGTAAAGCTTTAAAAATGAGACAGAGAGAAACAAGCTTGTACTAGGCAAAGAACAGGATCTTATACAGTAAGAGTCTCCCTCCTCCTCCGTTCTCCTGGCTTCTTCTACTGTAACTAGTTTCTTAAGCTTGTCTTGATATCAAATGCTCTAGCTCTGTATGTCTGCCATATAAACTATTGAAGTAATCAAAAGTTGATGGAGGATTTGGCGATTCAGACTTCCAAGTGTCACACATTATTATAATAGTCAAATTGGCCATGGTTGTTGCAACAAATGGACAAAACTGCTTTCCAGCTCATCGCTGATGACACCACTGGGATCAGCATAATATAGTTGATTTCTCAATGCTTTTCTCATGAGAACTAGATGATTAGTTCAATATTCAGAGACTATGAGAGGATTTGTGACATAGAAAATAGACTATTCTGTGTATTTTGGATCTTGGAGGCTAAGCACATACCTGCCTCCATTTGGCATCCACAAATCATTTCACTTAGTAACTTACTGGTTTCATTCACCGTTATTTTATACCTCTCGCAAATTGCAAAGTGGGTACAAAATGGAGGTGAAAAACAGTCCTCCGCTCACTAGCAAACAAGGTAAATAACTCATCCTATAGAGTGGTTCTATATATAATTATCAAATTCAACCTCAGATAAACTTAAAAAAAAAAAATCTACTTGCTACATAATAATTGATAGAAAATGCCCATTGTTACTGCTTCCCCCTTACCCAGTTTTGGCTATCTCTAGTTTATGGTCCAGCTTCTAGAATTAGCCCTCAGTTTGTAATCAGATACTCTTTCTGCTAAGAACCTCTGTTAAAATACAGAGGCCAGGCCTCAAGATTGGTAAGCAGATCCTAAAAGACAGAACAGTGCTCAAAGGATTCAGACAGGAAGGTAAACAAAAGAAAAAACTCAGTAATTTCTATGATTTAGAGCTAGTCTCATGATTCCTGGGGACATGACTCAATGTCTTTTAAACGAATGGTGGGGGAAATCTTGCTGTTTTAAAAATTTTATGAACTGTGGATAAAAACAATTAGGCTGAGTCCTTTGTCATGTAGGCACAAAATGTTACTAGGAATTTATTGTATTAAGCATCAGTTTTCTGGTTCCGATGACTTTTTTTAGAAGTGATTATTAAATATATTGAACTTACCATGAAAAGTTTTCTTTCATCTTCCCATTTGCAATGAATTCAATCAGGCTGGTATCAAAGCTTGCTGTTATCAGATCAGTTCCACAGGAAATATGTCATGATTCTGTGAACAGAAGAGACCTGCCAGGAAGATAAACCTATTTTAACACTTATCTTTGGCATGTCAGTGTATAAAAAGGAAGAGTACACATCAAATACCAGCAGAACTTGCCTTTCCTACCATCAAAATGAAGTTCACTGTAAGTATATGCATCGCTTCCTTATAAAACAGTGTTAAAGTTAGACAGTTTTTCAATTATTTTGAGTCTCTCTTGGCACCTGTTGAACTATATCACTGGTTTCCATAGGGATTATACAGTAAAAGGGCAAAAGTTTTGGGACTCCACTGGTGAAATTTCTTATTTGGCAGTGATTTCACTCCATGTACCTACTCAAACCTGAAAGAGGGAAGTGCTCTGATACAAGGACGACACGGCACATGTGAGATCTAGAAAGGGCAACGTTCTCTTACTCGTAACTTCTAGGTCATAAATAATCTGAGTTATACAAGGTTAGGGCACGGCTGTCTGATCAGAGCACAGGAGAAGAACCAGGAGATGTGAGTGCACGACTATGAAGCATAGCAATATTTACAGCAGTCTTCAACTGTTGCAGGATAAATTCCAAAATATTAGTGCTAAATATTCTGAGTCACACTTGGATCTCACTCATAAAAAAACCCTCTCCTTTGAAGTCAATGCATTTTGTGACTGATTCAATATTTGAGGGACTGTCTCCAAGAGAATAATTGCTAACAGTAACTATTACTACAAAACAATTTATCACAGCAATCTTAAATCTAACATAAAAATATAGCGGCAGTAGTTTTTA